GCCGAGCCACTTCCAAGATACTGCCGAGCCACTTCCAAGATACTGCCGAGACACTGCCCCCACCCTACCCCGCCCCGCCCCACCCCACCTCCGCTCACCCACGCGCACTGGGCCTTGCACTTTGAATGCCGTGCCGGCTCCTGCCGTCTACACGTGGAGACGCGAGGGACCAGCCTGGCCCTTGCCCCACCACCTCGTGTGTGTGGAGAAGTTTACCCTACCTTACCTTACCTTACCTCCGCCCCCGCACCCGCAGGCGAGGCTGTGAGGGACCTCGCCATTGCCTTCGCTCTCGTGCTCGGCGGCATCGGCGCGCGGCCAGATGCCACACGCACATGCCACGCCCACAGCCAGCACTGAGACCGCGCGCGCACAGCACACACGCACACACGCACACGCACACACGCGCACACGCACACGCGCACGCACACACGCACACGCGCACACGCGCACACGCGCACACGCGCACACGCGCACACACGCACACGCACACGCACACACGCACACGCGCACGCGCACACGCGCACGCACACACACACACGCACACGCGCACACGCACACGCACATGCGCACACGCACACGCGCACGCGCACACGCACACGCACACGCACATGCGCACGCACATGCGCATGCGCACACGCGCACACGCACACGCACACACACACACACACACACACACACACACACACACACACACACACACACACGCACGCGCGCACGCACGCACGCACGCACGCACGCACGCGCACACACACACACACACGCACACGCACATGCGCACACGCACGCGCACACGGACAGTTTGAACGGACAGTCCCCAGAGAAGGCAATCGCGAGAACCGCCTCGTCGCCTCTCCTCTCTCACTTAGCTGTGCTCATGCCGCCGCCGCCGGAGGAGCGGCAGTACCGCCGCCGGAAGAGCGGCAGTACCGCCGCCGGAGAGCGGCAGTGAGCCGCCCTTCCTGCCTCTGCATGCGGTGGTCGTTGTCTTGTGTGCTCGAGCGTCGCATCCGTCACATGCACATGCACATGTGCACATGTCTGTCCGCCCCTCCCCCGCCGCAGGCACGTTCGCCACGATGTTTGGCGAGCGGATGCGGCCGGTGGATCCGTACCAGAACAGCTGGCGCCTCGACACATCAAGCGGCGAGCCGGCCGACCGCGATTTCTTTTGTTACGACGCCAGGAGCTCTGTGTTAGGCCGTTCGACCTCAAGCGAGAGCACGGGCTGCCAGAGGGAGACGACGACGACGAGGAGGAGGAGGACGACGAGTAGGGCGAAGGGGGCGGGGGGGGGCGGGATGGCGGTTGCCGCTGCGGACGGCCCGCTCTCACCCCACGCACGTAAAAGTCGAATATGATAGAGAGCCATTCTACCACATGCATTATGCAGTACGCTCGTCAAAAAAAATGCGCCCGTGCAGAGGGGGCCGGGGCGGCCCGCGGAGCGACACTGACAGTCTTCACTGAGCGACACATGCACATGTGCATGTTGCACATGCACATGACATGTGCATGTTGCACATGCACATGCACATGCACATGCACATGCACATGCACAACATGTGCCGGCCCCGGGGCGCTGTTGTTCCGTCTATCGTACGAGTGGGAGCGTAGATGAGAGGGGCGCGCCGCGGAGCGGTGTTTTGTATGTGCATTTGTTCGCGCAGCACCGCCTCCCCCCCCCCCAAAGTGACATGTTCCATTGCCTCAAGTTTTGTTAACCCTCAAGCCTCATATGGGGCGCAAGAAAGAAGCTGTACGGTCTATGCTGCTGCGTCGCGAGGTGTCGGGCTGTCGAGCTGTCAGCGCTGCTGTCAGACCGTCAGACACATGCTGTCGGCCGGGCTGTCAGACCACGAACCAGCTTGTCGGAGCGCTCTTGTCGCCTTGTCCTGTGCTCCTCTGGCCGCGGCGGCGAGTGGCGTGGGGGGGCCTGGAGGGGGTTCGGAATTGGTACTTGTGCATGTGTTGTACTATAAACCCGTTAGTGTCCACCATCCGCCCCAGACAAACGCCCCAGACAAAGCAGCCTGAACGAAAGCCAGGCGCGGCGGCCGGCGCGCATCTCACGCGTGTGTCTCGAGGTCGAGCCTCGCTGCGCCATCCTTCGCAACCTCGAGCAACCGCAAATCGCCTTGCTTGCTACTACACAGTGGACAGCTCGCTTCTTTGCACGCGCGGGGCGGCAGCCCGCGCCCGGGCCACGGAAGCGGCCGCCCTCGCCGCCCGCCATCTCGGAGAGCCCCGCCGCCGCTTCTCTCGGATCTCAGCTCAATTCCTCTTCTCGGTCACGTCGTGCGGCGGTCGGGGGGAGGCAGCCAGGACGCCTTGCCCTTGCCGCCCTCCTCGGCGCGGAGGCGGTCGTCGCCCAGCTTGAGCTTTTGTGCGCCGGCCCGAACCCGCGCGCCGCGTGCTGCCGCTCCCCCAGCCCCGCGTGTCTCTCCGCCCCTCCTCCTCCCCCTCCCCCCATCAGGGTGTGGAGAGGAGGAGTGTGCCCCGCACGTTCGACGGGCCTGGGCCCATCGTACAAGCATGTGCCTGCGCCCGGCCACCATGCATGCATGTTGTGAATATGTGTGTGCCCGGCTGTACGACCCCGGCTTTGCATGTGAGATGTGTCCTTCAGCGTGTGCGTCCGAGCCGAGCGGGACATTGCTCATTGGCGGATCGCCGCCGCGACCGCGACGCGCGAGCCGCGATCGCGGAGCGCGCTGCGCGCATGGCTCTGCGCCGCGCCGTGTGTGAACGTTGGTGTGAATAACGACGTCCAGGATTTGCATACTGTACTCATGTCATCACCCCCAGGCGTTGCGCTATGATGTCCTGGGACCCTATCCGATCCGATCGGGGCGCTGCCGCTGGTATATCGCGGCGACCCCCACACACTATGGGGTCATTGTGTAGCCCTGCTTAGAAGGAAAAGGTTTACTGCAAGGTCCGTATGCCTTACCGTGTAGTCGGCCTGGACCCTCGCGCTAATTTTCCGTAACTCCCTCTGACCCTTGCGAGCGCTCATTTGCACCACCCAAACGACCCTGACACGTTGCGTTTGGGGCCTGCCCCACGAAAACACAGGAGTTCTCGACCGTTTTGCTGGCGGCTTGTGCGGTCATCGCACCACCACCCTTGGCAGCACAAAGCCGCGCCAGATGTCCGCCAGCTCTGGAGCCGCTCCCTCGCGGCTGTCGAAACGCTCCTCGTCCCAGGCGATCAGGTAGCCCAGCCGCATCACCTCGACCGCCCGCTTGCGAGCCGCCTCCGGGAAGAGCTCGTGCGACTGCGGCGACCACTCCGTCGCCTTGAGGATGAGCCCGCCCACCTCCACCGCCTCGGCCGCTGGCTGCAGGTTGGCCGGCCTGAGGGTTGGCAGAGGTGTGTCAAAGCAAGGATCCGGCGAGTCGGGGAGAGACCATTGCATTGCGCGCCTGAGCGCAAGCGCCTTGGCCTCGCCCGCCACGCGCACGCCGAAGCGGCCCGTCGAAGCGCTCGCGGAGACGACGACGCCGACCTTTCCGTTCATCGACGGCCGCGAGACCAGAGAGTGGATCGCGACTGTGGAACCGACGGCCGCAACGGTCGGATCCGACTCGCCCCACGAGCAAAGGACGCGCGCCCGCTCGAGGGCCGAAGGCTCGCCGGCCGAAGAGTCCGCGCCGCCGCGCAGCAGTGCCCGCGCCCGGTCGACGGTGAGCGCCTGCGGAAGAGGGGCAATGGGAGTGAGGACAGCGCGCTCACGCCTTCGGCCGCTAGTCTCAGGCACGCCTCGAGGTGCTGGAGCGGCGTCCAGCCGCGGCTGGCGACCAGCCAGGCAGCGAGGTCGGCGTGGCCTTCACGGCTTGCAACCTCGTCGGGCGTGCCGAGGGGCGTTGCGGCGCGGGAGGCGCCGTAGGAGGAGAGGAGCTTGGCGACCTCGAGGTGGCCATTGTAGCACGCGACGAACAGCGGCGTGGCGCCGTCATCAGCAGCTTGGTCGGGCGCCGCGCCAGCCTCGAGCAGCAGCCGCACGATCGCGAGGTGGTCCTTCTGGCACGCCATGTACAGCGGCGTGGTACCGTCGTCCCTGGCTTGGTTGACCAACGCGCCAGCCTCGAGGAGCAGCCTGGCGATCTTGAGGTGGTCCTTCTGGCACGCCATGAAGAGAGGCGTGACGCCAATATTCGTGGCTTGGTTGACCGCCGCGCCAGCCTCGAGAAGCAGCCGCGCGATCTCGAGGTGGCCCTTCGCACACGCGATGAGCAGCGGCGTGCCACCATCCTGCGTGGCTTGGTTGATGTCAGCGCCAGCGTCGCGCAGCAGCTGGGCGATCTCGAGGTGGCCCAGCTGGCTCGCGATGCGCAGCGGCGAGAAGCCTCCACCCGCCGCTTGGTTGACCGCCGCGCTCGCTTCGAGAAGCAGCCGCGCGCACTGGACGTGGCCCTGTTGGCACGCGATATGCAGCGCGGAAGCGCCGCCACCAGTCGTCGCCCCGACACTCGCGCCGACCTCGAGCAGCAGCCGCACCGCCTCGGCCTGCCCGTGACAAGCAGCCCAGGTAAGCAGCGTGTCCTGCCTCTCGGTGTCGTGCCGCGCGTCGAGCTGGGCAATGCGTGACGTGCCGTCCGTCCCCTGCCCGGAGAGGAAGGCGCGCAGCCAGGCCAGGTCGCCCCGAGCCAGGTCGGCGAGGCGGGTGGGAGGATGGCGCCGCTCATGCCGCCAGAAAGAAGAAAAAATCTGCGCCAAAAACTCTTTTTTTACCCATGCAGTGCGTGCATTCCCAGGGAGTGCGTGTATCCAGCAGGAGTCCCAGGGAGTGCGTGGATCCAGCAGGAGTGAGTAGGCTCGACGCCGTTCTCGAGATGGAGCTGCAGAAAGTACGCCGCCGAGCGTGCCACCGAAGGCGTCCCGTCGGAGGTGATGGAGTTTGAGACCTGAGGCTGCGGAGGTGACGCCTGAGGTACCGGCCCGTGCACAGCGACTCAGCCGGCGACCGCCACGGGCTCAGACGAGCCTTGTCGACGCGTTACGGCTCAGCTTTACCGTGGTCCTCGGGCGTCTGTCGACGTCAGGACCACCCATACAGCTCGCGGGTTTGAGGTCGCAAGAGCCAAGATGGTGGCGTTTGGACATCCCAAGACCCAACCATCACACAAGACAGCCTTGTACGTTGTAGGTGATGGCGGGACGGCGCAGTGTTTGTGGCACTCGGCAGTAGGCACCCGCGGCACGGCCCCGCTGTCGGCTGCTCGGCTCTCGCGGGCTGCGGAACCGGCCCCAGCGGGGTACTTTAAGGGTGGCGGACTCTGGATGGCGAGAGAGCGAGAAATCATACTCTATCAATCACGCGCATGCTGCGCCGCCCTGAGCGTGTGAGCCTGAACCCGTGACCCACACCGCTCACCCCGGGACCGCCAAGCCGTATTCACATGACTCATGAGATCGCGGCACTCATGTGTCTATTGACAATTGAGCGCTGGACAGTCTGAGCTCTCACAACGCACGTGTCTTATATGAACACAAATACCCGAATACGAGGTTTTACTCCTGCGGAAGTGGCTTGCATGGACTCGCTCTGGTAAGAACCAGCCGCGTCTGCGTCAAGACACCGCAGCAGCGGCGCTCGGCGTGCCCCCTCCTCACGATTTGACGGTGGGCTCATCCAAGCCCAGGCCAAGCAAATCTGCCGTGCCATCGGCCGGCGCCGAGGCGGCGGGCTCGCCTGCATCGGCCGGCGCCGTGAGGGGAGTGCTCTCGCCCCATTCGCTCGCGTCGGCGAGAAGATCGTCGAGGGCACGCGCCTGCGAGAGAGGGGGGAGGGGCTGGTGGTGGCGGTGCGTGGTGGCGGTGGGAGGGGGTGGGGGGGGGAGGGGCGAGGGGGGCGAGAGAGGGAGGGAGAGCGAGAGGTGTGAGGCTGCTCCGTCACACACACGCACGAGGTATGGGGCGGGGGGGGCAGGGGCCGGGGGAGGGTGGCGTCCT